AGGTCCCTTCTGACCCTACCAACTATGAAACTATAATCTTACTTTTTAGAAAACTAGCTTCAACTATAAGGTAACAGAAAACGCAACAAACTAATCTGCCATAGGTAAAGCAGGGGAACCATGATATCCAATGTTGTATGATGCTGTGATCTGTAATATACAATAGAAATTTCTGTAAATTATTTTCCATATTTGACCTCTCATTCTGTGACATATACTAAAATTAACTGTTTCTTTAACATCTGCTTTTTTATGTTTGCACATTTTATTATAGTTTATAAATAAGTTAATGTGCAAAAAAATAAGAGAAATATCAGTGCCTTGTACTTGAATTTACCAGTGTCCCTTGGAGACAGTTACCCATTGCACAGTAATTTATCTCCTGTGAAATAAGAGCCTCAGGGAAAAAAGAAGGGGCAGAAAAGAAGGGGCAGAATTATCTATTACTCCAAACATTTTGACAGTGTAATTATTTAACAAATATTCATAAAAGACTGGGTTAACATTTAACTTATTGAATGCTGCCTGGCATAGCCACAACATCAAAGAATGTATCCATGTTGCTGTTGGTTGTATACCTAGTAAATACTAGGGCTGTGTGGAGCTTTGGGTGGTGATTCGATTTGGAGGAGATTCGCCAGCTGAATCTCTGAATTCAAATCAAATCAGGGGACCAATTTAAAGGTCCAAATTGATTCAGAACTCTCTGAATCTTCAGCAAAGATTCGGAGAGCTTTGATGATTCGAACAGTCCCCAGTTGCTGCAGCAGGGAGCTGAAGCCACTCTGAGTTGGTAAGTACTAGGGGGAAGGGACCATGGGGGGACCCCTGCCAGCCCCCCTGACCTCCTCCTCCCCCCCAACCCCCATGGATGCCCCTACCTGCCCCAGCTTGGTACTATAAAATAAAGCCCCAGTGCTCACCGGGTGCTGCTGGGCAGGGGGCGATCCCCACTGCCTCACGCTGCATGGGGGGCTCTGCATGAGACCCCTTGCTCCTCCAGCCTCCCCATGGCTGTCCCTCCTGCCAGGGTCTGGCACTTTAAAGGGAAAAAAAAAGCCAAGAAAAGCTCCTGATGCAGCTTTGCGGGGGGTCGTGCAGAGCCCTCCATGTGGCAGGGGGCAGCAGGGATTGCCCTCCACTGGCAGGAGCAGTGAGTTCTGGGGTTTCTTCAGGGTTTTTTTTTCTTAAAGGGCTGGAGCTGGCCTGTGCAGGGAACCTGAGAGGGGGTGTGAGGAGGGGGTTCAGGGGCTTGTGCAGAGCCCCCCCGCATGCAGTGGGGGGGGGAGCAGGGGTGGCCCTCTGCCCGGCAGCATCTGCTGAGCTGGGGCTTTTTTTCCTCCAAGTGCTGGGAGCTGGGGTGGGTAGGACAGCCATTGCAGGGCTGGGAGAGCGGGCAGGG